CGGGAATGTGACTCCAGCACAATGGCTGAGATGGCTGCAGCCTTTGGATTTCTCAGGGCAGCAGGCTCTAGATTGAGGCCAGAACTTGTGGGAGACACCCAGTAGGAAGAAATGGGGAGGTGCTGTGATCGCTGTGTGCGCCAGTGGAGGCTGGGGGCTGCTAGGCTCCCAAGGTCCACAGATCCTCTATTTTTAGACTCCTCTGGGTCCCAGACTGAGAAATTGGAGCCCCTGGTCTTGCTCAGGCAGGCTGGGAGCTGCTGTAAGTCCCTCTTTTGCCAGGAAAGGCATGAGTCTGTGAAACGGGGTCAGCCTGGGGGGGACGGGCAGGAGGTGGTGGGCAGGACCTCCCCTCATACAAAGCAACCCTCTTTTTCTGTAACACATCCCTTTTGTATATTGGATTTGAACCATCATGAGTGGCTTGCATTTTTAAATAAATTACACAATGCAGTAATACACTGTAATTTTTTTTTCAAACAGAATGTAGAATAAAAAAATAAAGTTCCCTCTTTATTCCCACTTCCCTACTTTCTCCCTACAGTATAATCCTGTTAATTCCATACTGTCTTTCTTTTGTGGATTTGCATGTATATGCATAGATATATATGTATGTACATATGTATGTAATTTCCAGATAGAACATTTTATGTATGTATGGTTACATTGTTTGTGTTATTTGATGACTTGTTTTTCACTGAACTTTTATTTATTATCTCAGAGGTTTTTCCATGTTTGCTCACTTAGCTACAAAACCCAATCTTTTTACAGCTGCATAGTATTCCATAGCATGGTACATCTTGAGTTATTTAGCCAAGTCTTTCTTGGAAGCAATTTGGGCTGTTTCCTTTTCTTTCACTTATCAGCTTTGCCTTCAGTTGATATCTTTCTACTTCATCCTTTGTATATCTGTGCAAATGTTTCTAAAGAGGGATTGAATTATTATTAGGTTAAAGGGTTTGTGCATTTAAGTTTTTAGAGATGTGGTCAAACTACCGTTCCCAAATGCTGTGCTAAGGAACACTTCCCACTTGTGTGCAGGAATGCCTACTACTCCAATCTCTTCAACATTGCATGTTACTAGGCTATGTACTCTTTACTAATCTACCAGGCACAAAAATATAGCACTGTTATTGCAATTTATGCTTCCCTGTTTAACTACTGAGACTGTGAATATTTTCATGTTTATTGGCCAATCATATCTATAAAAATACCTATTTATATCTGTATCAAGTAGGGGAATTTGGGGAGCAAGGAACAGAAAATTGTGGCCTGACTGACTTTGACAATAAGGAATTTATCTTTTTATAATAAAATAACTGCAGATGAGGGAATGTAAAATGGCGTGGCTGCTCTAGAAAACAGTAGAACTGTTCCTTAAAAAAATGAAGGGATCATGCTCAGAGAAATACGTCAGAAAGAAAAAGAAAAATACTGGATGGTCTCACTCACAGCAGGAATTTAGAAAACCTAAATAAGAGACCAGGAAAAAGACTAATCAATACAAAGTAAAAAATCAAAATTAACAAGCAACTATAAACCAGAGACACACTATGGGAGGTGGGGGGGCGGAGGGAGGGGCAGGGAAAGGAAGGACTAGAGTCAAAATAAGGGGGGGTGCAATTGTATGGGGAATATAACCAAAATGAAAATGCATACATTGTGCAAAGATGAAAAAAGATGTAAGACTTATATAAAATAAAATATTTAAATTAAAAAATGAAATGAACATGTGACCTGGGAATCCCACTACTGGGTATATATATGGAAGTAAGAACTAAAAGAAACATTTAGGTTTTTTTTATGATCTTTAGAACATACTCATGTTCATAACAGCTTCAGTCATAATTGCTGAAAGGTAAAAACAACCCAAGTGTTCACTGACCGATGATTTGATAAACAAAATGTGGTCCATTCACACAATGGAATATTACTCAGTCTTGAAAAGGAAAGAAATTCTGACCCATTTCAACCTTGAGGACTTTATACTGAGTGAAATAAATCGGTAACAAAAGGTCAAATACTGCATGATTCTACTTACAGGAGGTCCCTAGAAAAGTCCGTTCATAGGGATAGAAAATGGTATGTTGGGTGCCATTTATTGGGGGAGGCAAAGTGGGGTGTTGGTGTTTAACAGGGACCACATTTCAATTTGGGAAGATTAAAAAATTCTGGAACTGGATGGTGGAGATGGTTGCACAATAATGTGAAGGCACTTAAAGTCACTAAATTGTGCACTTAAAAATGATTACTGGGTAAATTATATGTTACATGTATTTTATCGCAATTTAAAAAATGTTTTAAGTTTAAAAAGAGTGCAGATCAAAAGTAGCTCCAAGGTTGGTGAACTCAGAAGCCCAGTGATGTCATGGAGGCCCTGTTTCTTTCCACTTTTCTGCTCTGCCATCGTTAAAGAAATTGTTATATATTTAGCCAGCTCCCCTTGAGGTCCCAGACATTTTTGGGTCTTTATGGTAATGCCCCAAAGCATAAAGTGGACCTTCCCTTTCAGTATCTTTCTTTTTAAGATTGAGGAAAACTTCTCATGGAAACCCATTATCTACCACTCCCCACACTGGAGACCACAGGTGAAGGGAAAGGGCCCCTACAATTGACCACTGGAAGTCTAGACTTCAGGACACTTGGCCACATGGAGATGGAGACCTAAGCAGACCTGCGATCCCCCAGGATGGAGGGAACAGAAATAGCTGTCCCAGCAGGAAACTAACTATTCATGACAATTGCTCTTTGCCCACTCTCTCCCAAGGGGTTGCCTTTTTCTTTTTAATTTTAATTTGTAGGAACTCTTTCTACATTATCAAAGTGATTCTTTTTCTGTGATAAGTATTCAAACAATTTTTTCTAGTCTTTGCTTTTTTTTGAGTGAATTGCATTTATGGAAGACCAGAACTCAAGTGAAAATATGCTTTTTCTCCTCAAACCTTGAGTTCATTAATAATACAGGTTTTTCTCTCTTGCTATAAAACAAAGTTGGAGGTAGTTGAGGGTGAGTGAGGTCATCATTATTGGCTTTCAGGCTTTAATGGCAAAGAAGAGGAAGCTGCTGAGCAGAGTCCTTTGGAAGCCTGCAGGTAGTAGGACACTCCTGTGTCACTGCTGGAACCTTGAGTAGAGGGAAAAGTAAAGTGACTGAGCTACTGCAGTTAGATAAGTAGGAGCCTGCACAGGAAAAGAAACTGCCTGGGTAACATGGGGTCCACTTAGAAGGTTCCTCTGATGGGCTTCACTAGAGCATACAACTGACTCCCAGGGTGGGGTTACAAATATGCAGACACATCTCAAACCACACTTGCCTCCAGGAGCCACACAGGCCTGGTGCTGGCATAATGGACGTAAAAGATGCCTTTGCAGTGAGCACAATGCTTGACCTTCTACCTCCTGGGAGGTAGAAGGACCAACCTGACAGTTGCATAGAGAATGAAGGGGCTGCTTTGACCTCTCACTGGTCCCACTCAACTTGTTTAGAACTCAGTGGAATAAGAGGTGTTATTTAATGGGGGTTCCCACTGTAGCCCCAGAAGTCTGGAACCTGGTAGATCTGGATTTGGAGGCCACAGCTCACTGCTTTGGACACTGTCTTTGTGCCTTTCAGGTGGCATGACTCTATGACGGAAGAATCATTGCCCTCGTTTTATAGGTGGGGAAACTGAGGTCTGTGGAGGACAAGGAGCCACCTAGAAATGCTATTGCTTCCTCTCTGAGCCCAAGCTCTTTCCTCCTATTTGTGGCAGGCAGAAGCCCTTTGCCAACACCTAAGTAGGGTCTTCAGGATCCTGGTGCCCCTCTGGCTGATAGTTTGACTTCCTCAGGTAAGGTCAGAGCCTCAGTTGCCTAAAGTGAGGAGTGTGACACCAAATTGTAGAGTGGGGAGGTCAGGAGAGATGGTCTGCGGGCAGGGGAAGTGCAGCGCCACAGTGTGGATGTGTTACAGGGCAGGGAGAGGACACCCAGACCCCGCAAACCTGCCTGCTCTAAATGGGTTCTGCCATCTGCCCCATCAACACAAAACATATGAGACTTTAATGGGAAGGAACTTTAATACAACTAGGAAACAATACAGGAAAGGCAAAGAATCTAGTTTCTAAATCGAGCACCCAAAGTTACCCGTCCCCTCGTGGGTAAAAGTCCACCCAAGCAGGATTGGCTCAGAGCAGGGCCCCAAAGCCTGCCACAAGTCTAAAGCATCTTCCAGTGGGGACCCACAGAAAAGGGTCAGAAACAACCAGACAAGTCTGGAGGGAAAAGAGCAAAATCAAAATCAAGACAAAACCCACCATTGTCACCTCCCCACGGGTCTCTCACCCACATCTGTGTCACCCGGTCCACGACCAAAAGGCAAGTGCAGCTTCTTCACGTGTCTCTTGGCTTCATGTGCCTCCTCTAGGTCTCCTGCTGGCTCCATCCTGCTTCCTTCTTTCCTCAGTCTCCTCTGCAGCTTCTTCTCTCCCTGCTCATCAACCCGCTCCTTTTGGGTGGGGCAGAAAACCTGGAACCTCCCCGTTTCCTGGAGACCACCCTGTTACAGACGGAAGTTCCTTCCAGAGGCAGAGGGGTGGCAAGGGGACCCACAGATGGCACAGGGCCAAGGGTAGGTGGGGGCAAGCTGGAGGTGGGGAGCAAGTACATTAAACAGGATAGGACTCTGATTCCTTGTTCAGAAGTCCCCCCTTCTCCACACTGGTCTATTAGCTCTTTAACCACAGCAGCGATGACACGTTACGTTAAAATTGTTTACACATTACCTTAAAACTGCCTGACTGGGGAGAAAGTGCTTTACCTGCACCCACCAGCTGTGCTTCCACACAGGGAATCCACATATGCCCTGAACTGGAGACAGCACCAGGTGCCAGTGTGTGCCTATGGGTACGTGCTCATTGCAGCAGCCTTCCCAGCCTCCCAGAGCGAAGAGCCATTGTTCCAGGTCACTGGAAGTTTCCAAGGTGAGAGGTGGTGGGAAGCTTCAGTGTCATGACCACAGAGCTGCAGGCTTGGCCCCTGGGGCAGCAGCAGGGGATAGGCAGGGGGTCAACAACCCCCACCGACATCCCCTGTGATTCCAGGCTGGTTTCCTGAGCGGAAACTGAGAGAACTTGGCTTCCTCCTTTGTACAACGAAAGCCCCTTCCGGGGTGGGTGTGGGGAAGTAGATGAGACTGGGCACCCAGCACCCCTGCTCTGGTCTTGGTCACACAGCATGTCCCCCACCATCCCCCCCAAGGAAAGTGTTGCTCTTTTCCAAGTCTCCTCCTCCAGTTCGTGCATCCTCTCTGGTGCTCTGGCTTTCGTCCTCCCTTACGCACCAACCCTCTTCTCTGGTCAGCACCATGGCTATTTGTACTTCCAGCTGGTGGAGACGGAGACGGAAGGGGTGAAGACTTTATTTTACAACTTTGTGTGTGCGTGTGTGTGTGTGACCCTCGCAGGGGGCTGGGGAACGAACTGGCGCTGCAGAGGCTGACGGGCAGCCTCGCAGCCCAGTGCTCAACTGCTGCGCCACTAGGGGAGGCCCTATTTTATAACTTTTGAGAAGCCACTGTTAATGTTGGGAGAGAACAAAGCTGAAATTATAGCTAATGTTTTAGGTCTGTGCTTTCAAATATTCCTGATGCTTCTCTCCTCAGCTCACCCTCCTTGGTCGTGAATAATTGAGAGACTGATGATGATCAAATTGCTTAATGCAAACTCTACAAGCAAACACCCCAGGGGTGAGTACCTTACGGTCCTTAGAGACATCACACCCAGGGCGGACATTCACAAGACACACGTTTCCTCTTCTGCTACATCCCAGCTTAGACCGGCCATCCCCAAAGGGCTCCTGTCTGCTTCTGGTCCACGGAGGGGAAAGCAGGTGAGCTTGCAGGGCCTCAGCCAATTAATCTCTCCCACAGCCCTAATGCCAGAGCACTTTTATGGCCCAATCAGTCCTTGTATCCGTCTCCTTGGAGTCTCTGCTTTGTTAATATTCAACTTCCATATTTTCTGGTGACAAAGTAGGTCAGATCTATGGCAAAGGGTACTCTGAAATCACACCGTGTCATAGTTATTAAGCTAAACATAAACTGACCTTAGATTGGTGATTCGTTGTTAATTCCAATGGGAAGATCAAGGCCAGAGGTGGAGATAGGAGACCCCCCTCCAACCCCAGGATTTCCAGCCACGCCCTCCTCGCCATACCCCCTCTCCTGCCCTCCCACGCTTCTGTGCCCTGAGTGACTCAGTCTGGCTGCCCACTGGTGAGCAGGGGTGCATTCTGGGTAGGGGTATTTAAGAGCTGGTGACTTGTTGATTTTGGAGTCTGTGAGTTTGGAGTGCAGGGTCCTTGGGTTCACTCTGGGAAAGGTTTCACCAGAGCTCCCGTTTCAGTGACACGCGGTGAGTTTCCCGGGCGAGTTTTTCCATAAGACACAGACATTAGTTATATTTAAAGAGCAGGTTTATTAGGGAAGGGATAAAACAGTAAACGACACTTGCATAGACACAAGTGGGCAGGAAGAGTTGCCCCAGAAGGGACAGGTTTGCTAAGAGAGGCTTGCATGGTTGCTGGCCAGTGGCCTTGACAGGTCAGGGGCAGGCAGGAAGGCTGCTGCCCTGCAGAGGTAGAGAGTTGGTGAAAAGAGGCACCTGCATAGTCACAGTGGGCAGTGGGAGTGCTGCCCTGAGCCAGTGCAGAGACTGCACTGATAAAGTCTTCTATATAGACTTCTTTATCTTCTATATAGTCTATATCTTCTTGACCCCTCACAAGGAGGTGAGTTGGTTGCTAAATTTGGATAACTACGTAGAATTTGAAAGGGACCAGAGATTCTACAATGGGCTCAATCTCCATATCTTTACCCTTGGGCCTGCGCTCTAGACAGCAGTCTGATACCTGCGTGGATGTTATGCTTTGTAATCTAGGTGTCTGCACCTCAGGATACTGGTGTCCACAACTGTGTTGATGGTTATGCGAATGTCCTCTGCCCCCACCTCTTTGTGTGAGCCAGGTTTCTGGTCTTGTGGCACCTCCTTTTTTAGTGGTTTTTTTTTTTTTTCTATTCTTGTCCTCCATCAGTGAGAGATGGTTCACTCTCTTCCCAGCCACAGATTTGTGGAGGCTACCTGATGATGTGGTGGGACACATGAAAAAGGATGGATGACTGAATCACTTTCCTAAAATATAGGGATTTAACAGAAAATGTGGGGCATGATTAGGCCATATCAGATCAGGAGTAGAAGCCATTGAAAAGATCGTTTGTTACTCACAGTTCCAAAGAGGTGAGGACACATGATGCCCCCCGGGCCTGCATGGGAAAGCACCATGGGGGGGGGGCAGGGTTCAGGATTTGGAGGAGAGGGGGAAATGTGGGCAAGCGCCTTATTGTGGTTTCCATGGAAGGAGCAAGAAGTTAGGGTTCGCCATGTTAGGATTAACCATGTTAGCAGGCTTAGGTTGGGCACAGGGGCAGTCCCAGTTGTTTGGTGCTATGTGATTAGGGTAGGTAGCTAGACCCTGAGAGTTAGGACCCCATAGAGGAAGTGGGACTGGGCTGGTTGGTTTGCATTTGAAAGGTGTGTTGGGTGAGTAGTTTGTCACCACCAGGAATTACTAACCTTGGGAGAGGAAGTCCCTCCAGGGTCAACAAGTCCCAGGGGTAAAAACATCCAAAATAAATTCAAAGATAACAATGGGAGGACTGTGTGATTCACACTAGACTCTGGGAGGGAAAACTGACTATCCTTTGTTGTTAAGTCATGGAGCCTGGGGGTTCTAGGACAGTGCACTGCTGAAGGGGCAAAAGGAGGGGCATGGGCACATGGATGCAGAGCCAAGTCTCAGCATCAGGTGACATTTGTGAACTTCATTCATTCAGTCACTCACTTATTCTTTCACTCATTTACTCATATGTCAACCAAAGTCATTGCGCCAGCTGTATTTCAGCCCCAGTTCTGGGTCTGGACTCTGAAACAGTAGCCCTGCCCTCATGGCACACGTAGACAATGAGACTGCTACAAAGGAGAGAATGATGACTCTGACAGAAGAAGCATTGGAGGGCTTCTGAGAGGTGGTGATATTGGCATCAGATCTAATAGGTTTATATAATGGTTACCTTGCAGAGACAGTAGGCAAGATGTCTTTGGAAGTCTAGGAAGAACATAGGTAAAAGCATATCAAGGCTTTGCAAAGAGTTCAGTAGAGCAAAAACAAACAAACCCCCCCAATAGTCTAATTTTTAAAATGAGCAAATGACCTGAATAGAAATTTCTCCAAAGAAAACAGGCCAATAGGTATTTGAAAATCATCACTAATCATCAGGGAAATGCAAATCAAAACCACAGTGAAATACTACCTCACACCTGCTTGAATGACTATTATCAAAAAGACAAGAGCTAACCAAGTGTTGGTGAGGGTATGAAGGAAAGGGAGCCCTTGGATCTTTTGGTGAGAATGTTCTTTGGTGCAGTTGTGGAAAATATTTTGGGGTTTCCTCTTTTTCCTTAAATGGAAAAAGGTGGTACACACACACACACACACACACACACACACACACATGCAGGACTATCATTCAGTCTTTTAAAAGGTGAAAAATTTATATGATCTGAAAAGAAATCAGACTATTATTAGTCTTTTAAAAGAAGGAACTCTTGTGATTTGCTACAACAAGAGTAAACCTGGAGGACATTCTTCTAGGTGAAATAATCCAGACACAGGAAGACAGATACTGTATGATCTTGTTTACTGAGGAATCTAAAAAAAGTCGAACTCACAAAATCAGAGAGTAGAATGATAGTCACCACAGGCTGAGGGGTGGGGGGAACAGGGAGATGCTGATCAAACTTCCAGTTATAAGGTGGATAAGTTCATGTCCAGCATGGTGGCCTCAGCTAGCTACCACATACCTGAGAGTTCTCCCCTCACACATACTGTAACGAGGTAAAGTGACCAATGTATGCACCAGCTTGTGGTAATCACAAAGTTTACAGAAATTAAATCTTGCTGTATACCTTAATAAAGAGCACACTGCACAACCTAAATATATACAATTTATATTTGTCATTAAACATCAATAAAGCTGGGGAAAAAGTTCAGTGGGGCTGGAATACACAGGAGTACAGTTAGACATGGCTGAAAAACCATGGGGGCTGAGGCCTGAGAAGGCTCCAAGGTCTGAGAAGGGACAGGACCCTGGGTTTCCTGCTGCAGAGTATAGAGAGCTGGACAATGTCCAGACCGGGGTGTGACATCATGAGGTGGGCGGGGCACAGTCCTGTCTTCTTATACCCCTCTTCAGTGAACTCACCCTCAGATTTTCAGTGTTCATATAGCACCCCCATCCCTTGTTACAGCATGGGGAAAAATCCCTTAAGCACCTCTGTTCTAAGGTGGGATGGTAAATACTCTTCTCCCTTCTGGAACCCATGACAGACACCATTAATCATTCTTTGCATTAGAGACCAGACTGAACCACAAAGGCCTTCTCGACACAGTGCCTCATGCTTACTACCCTTGTATCCAGGTTGGCATACATGTCAAATTATCAGTCATTTCTGTTTTAAGAGTAGTGTTCTCTTTCTGTTTTTTTTTTTTTTTTCTAAAGATTTATTTATTTATGCATACAAGAGCTGGGGCACAGGCCAGAAGTGTGAGGGTTGAGACGACTCACGAGAGACAGAGTGGGGAACAGAACAGGTGCAGGGGATTAAGACGCCACCAGGGAGGCCCAGTGTTCTCTTTTTGGAAGTACTTTTATTTAAAATAAGGAAGAGAAGGCCTCCCTGGTGGTGCAAGGGGTTGAGCACTGCACCATGAAGCATTCCGCAGCCACTACAGCACAAGTTTGATCCTCGGCCAGGGAGCAACCCACATGGCACAGCAGACCTCTCCTGACTTGCCCGCTGTTCTCCTCAGCCGTGTATGTCAGTCAGTCTGCCTGTTTTGCTCCCCACTTTGTCTCTGGTGAATCCTCTCACCGCCCTGCATCTCTGGCCTGTACTCCAGCTCTTGTATGCATAAATAAATAAATCCCCAGAGCAGTTGGTGATGTTTGCGTGGTAAGCTCTCACCTTTGTGTCTTTCACAAGGCCCAAGTGCAGGCAAAGAATAGATGCTCAATTAATGTTTATTGATGAATCTAAATTTCAATTTTATCTACCATCATCCTCAGGGAAGAAGAGTAGAAATGAAATTAAACCCCATATATTGCTGAAATGTATCGATCACCAAGAAGCCAGTGTTGTATGCTAGCCCACCTGTGAGATGCTGGTTTTAAAGTCACACAAATCAGCATTCACACAGCCCCTGAGTCACTCGGGACTTGCACACGGTTGGTTGGCTTCCACATTAGCACTGAGAGGCAGGAACATCACCGTGGTTACCAGGCCAGCACACAGAAAACTCTCAATCAATACTTGTGAATGGATGAGTGAAACTTCCTGGCACAACAGGCTGAATGAGGCAGCTCCCTCACTGGTAGAAGCAGAAGGCCTGGAGCAGCCATGGGAGGGGTGGGGGTGATGTCGTCAATTCCCAGTTCAGTGAATTCTTTGTGGCCCTAGGATCTGCTTGGGAAGCAGAGGGTTTGTGGAGACAGAATCCTGACATGACCAAGGAACAATAGGGAAGCCGTGTAGACAAGGGGCTGGCCAGGGAGCAAGAGTAACGAGAGCCAAGGCAGAGGTGGAAGCAAAGCTGCAAGCTGAGTCAGAACTGGACAGCTGGCAGTGGGGGGGAAGAGAGACTTCGAGAATGAGCAGCTGGGTAGCAAGCCATCCATCCAACAAATATTTGCTGAGCACCTACTACGTGCCAAGCACTGTGCAGGATGCTGGAGAGAGTCCACAAACAAGTAAAGATGCTTGCTTTGTGGAGCT